ATAAACCTACCATTAAAATTATAAGACTGATCATTTCTTTGTCAGTGGGCAACCGTACAAAATCAGCGGGGGATCAAATACTTTTTCCCTCACTGTATATATGGGGAGACGGATATGGGTAGGAGGCGTATTTTCTGCTTACTTTTTGACTATCAAAATACATAACCCCTCGTCCCCACATTCGTATCTCGTATTACACAACGCATGGGCTCCACGGCTTTCTGGGGGTGGTGTACCTTATCATCAGGATTGGTGCAATTAAACTGAAAGTGTCCCATCAACAAATCTAGTCTTGCTTGAAACAATGCTGGTCAGCTGTTTATAGGCAAGAACCCTTTCTGTAAAAAAAAAATGGGTCAGAAGCATATTGGGATGAAGTCATTATATTTACCACAATAACGTAGAGTCCTTGTTGATTTGTTTGGGCGTATGGGCTCCATGGTTAACTTCATAGGCACTGATGCAAGGAATTATTTCATCCCCTTTTTATCCCTTTATTCATCGTCCGGCGTTTGTTCCTCTCCGGCCTATGGGCACCGGCGCAGTTGCATCACCTGCACATTCAATAGTTACGCCGTGGGATGGAAGTAAGGGAATGGAAAATAGACGCGGGAAATGTCCGTGTGGCTGGACTTCATAGAATGGAGACTCCGCGTCTCAAATGCACTGCTGGACGGAGACCTCTCCACGTTCATCATGAGGGATGTTTGACGATACTTGACCCACGTTAGTCACTACGCGCCGGTGAAGGGGGTTCCAAGGACTGGTTCAGTTATGAACCGCCGGCATTGCTGATGTTAGCCATGGCTAGAAATCGAACTGTGGTGACATGGCACAGTTCGATTTCTAGCTATGTCTGTGGAGTGCTGTGGGTTAACCACAGCACTCCACAGACATACACACGCGCACGTGCATAGACAGAGCCGTGTGAACGCATGGAGACGACAAACAGGTACACACTCAGACACGCACACACACACGCGTACACAGATACACACAAAGACCCCCAGTGTAGCCTTAACAGACTGTTGGGGCAAGTGCTGTTAGCGAGCACCTATGAAGGCCGGCACGGCACACGACGGGGTGGGTGGCCAGCACCATGCCCGGCCGCCTTTGTCTCCCCAGTGGCGATGTTTCCCCACCGCAGCAGGAAACCATTTGAGGCAGAGTCGATCTAGAGGTGGCCCAGGACTGGTTCAGGTATTCTCCACTGTTATTGGTCGTGAGGCGGGTATCGAACTCGGCTCGCTGGGCTCGTAGCGCAGTGCGCTAACCACTGCGCCACTGCTCCCCACATAGACACGCACGTGGACACACTGAGTGGGAAATCCAGAGTCGTGGAGAGATGAGACGTTGACATTTGATGTCGGTGGAGTTAAATGTTAACACACATGTGCGAGAGACATTAAGAGATCAGCAACACCTGGTTTTATAACAATACTGTACATGTCTCTAGAGCAATATAATCCCCACTTGCATAATACTGCAGTTGCATGAGAAGGGAAATTCAACACGCGTGTCGCTTATTTACATATCAATAACAACAATAAATATGCAGTTTATATGATCTCCCCATGTTCTACTTTGGGTTTGCTCAACGCGTAATACAATAATACTGTAATGATGATTTAGCAACATTATTAGAAACTGCAGTGTACTGGGGAAGACCAGTCATGTTAATCGGCTACACAGCAGATTTATATTGGGAGTTTACCGATTGGATGACCTGATAATACCTGGAATAATACCACACACCAACAGGTCTGTACTTGCCAATAACACTGCCGCCTTGAAATAAAATAAATATATGTCACCGTTTTGGGAAATTACCCTTCATCACAGCACATACATTATTATTTTATGGATTATTCACGTCTGCGTTTCACATATTTATCCTAAACGTGACATCGCCTCGCATCACAACCAGCCATGATCTAGCTACTGCTGGATGAGGGCCTTCCCAACCCTCGCCATCCCAAATGGTCTTGCGGTGCCACGCTCCATCTCCACCGTAGGCATCCTTGAGGGCATGCACCAGCTAGCGCAACGCGCTATGAACCCGGCCACCCGAGTTCGATTGCCGCTCACGGCCAACACCAGTGACGATTATCTGAACCGGTCCTGGACCTCCCCTAGGTCGACACAGCCTCAAATATTGTTGCGATATGCAAACATCGCTACTAGGGAGACAAAGGCGGCCGGGCGTGGTGCTGGCCACCCACCCCTTCGTGTGCCGTGCCGGCTTTCATAGGTGCTCGCTAACAGCACTTGCCCCAACAGTCTGTTAAGGCTATAAGGGGATCTTTGTCTTTGTGTTATTTTCAGCTGTCATTCTCTCACCAGTCCATTGCCCATTGCCCAGCCCACTTACAGTTACTGTATTTACTTCTCAGTCCAGATGTCTTTAATTTGCATTTACCCCGCCGATTTAAATATAGAGCAGACGATGTTTCGGGCAATGACCCTTCTTCATAGCACGTGACGAATGTGTTATTGAGTTATTTTGTTTATTGTGCGCCACCGCAAAAGCAGCATCACAAAGCAATATATTTCACAACTCGGAGTGAACAAAATTTTTACATTTTTTGGTCGACTCGACTCATAATTACACAATTGGAATCCACACCCAGACCCTCCTAAAATTCCACAGGTTGTCATCGACTTCACTGAGACTCTTAACTCTACAAAAAAATGTTATATGACTAAATGAAAACTTGCCCCAGACCCAACAGTTGAAGGTTTTACCCTTGCGGGCTAAATGAACCACCCTCGTCACGTGCGTGATGTGTAAAGGACACTGAACTGCGGTCATTTACAGCCGGCGAGCCGTGCATGAATCACTATGACGTCATGATTTCAGTCTCCAACTGCTCCTTGCCACATCAGAGCTTTTGCCTCTATAAATATTTTTTTCTATTTTGTTCGAGAGGCGGAAAATTTCCATTAAAAACAAAAAGTGTATTCTTTTAGGATAGAAACGTTTAGCTAACAGGTCAGGGTCGGTGTGGGTATCACGTAAAGTGGGACATTTTTTGTGGAATTTAATTATTTACGTGCCAAAAAAAAGGGTTATCTATTTATCTGATCTTTCTAAATTACTAAGATTATCATGCAATTATTCACCGTTATCGAACAGTGCTGCCACTCGAATAGCCACAACCGCTCCACGCCCCACAAAATCTGATGGAATATTTCCCGGGGCTACACAAAGGCAATACAAATGGCATTGAGGAAATGTTGATCTGTTTACAACCCTCAGACGGGGTGGTGGAAATTTTACATTCCAAAGGGGGGGTTGCTATTCGATTAATCGATTCATAGAACCACCGTGGACTTTTCCTACATACGGTACTTATTTTTTATCGACCCCGGGGGTGGGAGGGGGATGATGCACTGGGACACGTGGGCGGTACATCTGCACAGAAATGACATTTCCGGAATTATCGAGAGACATTGTTTTTTTTGTTTGAGAGTCGCATCACGCGCAGAGCTGATTGTACACAGACAGATTCGAGCTTAAACAAAATAGGTGATGGATTAAACTCCGTATATTTATTCCCCCCGCCCCTTACTTATTCTTTAAAAAGTACTGTTTGACGGGACATTATGTCGTCACCAAGACATTCCTTAGTGACCAATTCCCTGCCATATTTAAACAATGTCCTTTTAAATTTTGATTTAAAGCTTTCGTGACTGCAGTTATTCATATTCTTGGTTCTTTCGGTAAAGTCACGTTGAAGGGATAACAAAAAATTATATATTTTATTATTTTATTGTTATTTTATGATTTTATTGTTATCCCTTCAACGTGACTTTACCGAAAGAACCAAGAATATAATGTCATTTTACGTTAAATTATGTTTAAGGTTTCAGCTTTTTTTTAAACGGGAGCCCGCAAGCCAAAGAGCCGCCGCATTTTTTCCGATCCCCTAATCTCCAGAGTTCTCGTATAGTCGGTATAGATACATATCTGTGGCATCCGTGGCAATTTGAGCTGGAATCTGGCGGTTTTTACCCGTTAGATGTGGCAACACGGACAGACCACCACCACCCACCACCACGCCAACACACACGCGTCGCTCTCTGGGGGTGGCTAAGCCCCTTTCTGTTCGCTAAAGCCCTGCCCAACAACCCTGCTCTCAGCCATTGCCGATAGTCAGCTGGAAGTCCCAACCACGACCACCACCAACAATAAACAAAAATATCTCCCGTGTAGCCAGTAACAGACTGTAGGGGCAAGTGCTGTTAGCGAGCATCTACGAAGGCCGGAACGGCACACGAGGGGGTGGGTGGCCAGCACCACGCCCGACCGCCTTTGTCTCCCTAGTGGCTATGTTTACACACCGCACCAGGTACTCTTTTGAGGCTGAGTCGACCTAGAGGAGGGCCCAGCGACCGTTTCAGAAAATCGTCACTGGTGTTGGCCGTGAGCGGGAATCGAACCCGGGTCCGTAACGCAGCGTAGCGCTACCTGCCCCCCACTACCACCGCCCCCCCACTACCACTGCCCCCCCACTACCACCGCCCCCCCCCACTACCACCGCCCCCCCCCCACTACCACCGCCCCCCCCACTACCACCGCCCCCCCCCCCCACTACCACCGCCCCCCCCCACTACCACCGCCCCCCCCACTACCACCGCCCCCCCCCCACTACCACCGCCCCCCCCCACTACCACCGCCCCCCCCCCCCACTACCACCGCCCCCCCCCCCCACTACCACCGCCCCCCCCCCACTACCACCGCCCCCCCCCCCACTACCACCGCCCCCCCCCACTACCACCGCCCCCCCCCCCACTACCACCGCCCCCCCCCCCACTACCACCGCCCCCCCCCCCCACTACCACCGCCCCCCCCCCCACTACCACCGCCCCCCCCCCCCCACTACCACCGCCCCCCCCCCACTACCACCGCTCCCCACGACCACCGCTCCCCACGACCACCGCTCCCCACGACCACCGCCCCCCACTACCACATACACACGGACACAGAGTGACGCACACACACACCCCCACCACGGGTCACGCGGCGCATCTCGCCCACAGAAAACAACCGGACAAGAACCCGCCTCCGCCTCCTCCTCCCCCCGCCGCGACCCCACGGGGTTCCGCCGGTTGCTCGCGAGACCCCTCGCAAAGTCACGTCACGCGCACATTTGTTGCGAGCGACTGTCGTCATCATCATCATCGCCGCCGCCGTCGTCATCACAGTCGTCTCCCGCCATCATCAGACCTCGTCGGCGTCACGCGTTGGTTGTTTTTGCTGAAGTACGGAGAGGCGCTGCCCGCCCTCTTCCTCCTCCTCCTCCTCGTCGTCGTCGTCCCGAGGTGAGGAGCGCGTGCGGGAAAACAAAACTACACACAGACGAAAGACAAGTCGTCTGTGTGTGTGTATGTTACACACACACACGCGCGCGCACATGTTTCTGGTCCGTTCCGTCTGTTGTTGCGATGTTGACACGGGTGTATACGCCGATACACGTTAAGCGTCGGTGATCATCATTGTCGATCCACTGCTAGATGAAGGCCACGCTGCCGCCATCCCTCCCTCGCCACGGGTCCCAATGTGCTTGGTGGTGATGGTAGTGGCGATGGTGGCAGTGATGGTGATGATGGTGGTGATGATGATGGTGGTAGTGGTGATGATGGTGGTAGTGGTGATGATGGTGATGATGATGGTGGTGATGGTGGTGGTGATAATGGTGATGATGATGGTGGTGATGGTGGTAATGGTGGTGGTGATGATGGTGATGCTGCACCAACTGATCTCACCGCTCCGTCTCCCCTCCACGGTGGCGGAGCACACCGACACCCACACCGACACTCACCCCGGCACCCACACCGACACTCACCCCGGCACCCACCCACCCCGTGTCTTTGTGCGCCTCTCTCGTTCCTCTCGACCCCCGTACTCGCAGTCAACATCGTTCGCATCTCACCGCTCCCACCGTCTCTCCACGGCGATCGCGAGAGACGCGATTCCTCCGTCTCTTTGAAGCACCTCGCACAGCGTCGTAGTCCATTTGCACGAAATCTCAACAACGCGGGAGACCGTGACAATGGGGAGATGGCATGCAACGTAAACGACGCCTCCCTACGTTGCGGGGTTGGTTTTTTTTGTTATTTCGTGTGACCCATGGGGACGATTGATGGTGTCCGGCTTGATGTGGTGGTGGTGGTGGCGCGGACCTTCGCTGAGGTGGGAGATGGAGCGCCACACGCGGGCGAATATCCGATGAGCTGGAGAATGGGCGAGGTGGTGATGATGGTGGTTGTTGTTGGGGTGGGATCTTGGTGAAGAAGGACAAAAAAAGCACACATCCTGTAGGTTATCTCTCTGTGCGCCATTATACAGAGCGGATGGGTGTTGGTTAATACAGTACAGACATGGGGTGGGCCAGATGTCTTGTGACCCCCCCCCCTCCCATTTAATTCTGAAACACCTATTCACCTAATATGTATTTAAAAAGTAAGGTTTATTTAAAACAGAAATGAATGTGCTAAATAAAAAAATGTTAGGGGTTAATTTATTGGGGGGGGGGGGGGGTCACAATACATCTTGACCACCCTTGCACATCATCCTCAGCCGCAGGAACAGGCCAAGTCCTGACTCCTGTCGGTCAGAGCCGGCTTGCGGCGCTTCTTCTCGCAAAGTGGTCTCCTCTCACGGAATGTTTATGGTGTGGAATCTATCGGCCATCTGCCGTGGTCTATCCACTGCTGGATGAATGTTTATCATCATTAGCAGCAGCAGCAGCCATTCTCACCAACTCTCAGCTGAGCTGGAGAGTGTGGCGTCTCAATACGGAATTCACGTGCTGTCTTATGAACTACTCCAGTTATTTTCGATTTAAAGCTTTCGTGACTGCAAGGATTCATCTTCTTTGGTTCTTTCGGTAAAGTCACGTAGAATGAGAATAAAATAATAAATTGATAAAATAAAATAACACAATAATATTCTCACGCTTGTGTTGTGGCCGAAACGTCGTGAGAATATTATTGTGTTATTTTATTTTATCAATTTATTATTTTATTCTCATTCTACGTGACTTTACCGAAAGAACCAAAGAAGATACTCCAGTTATTGTTGTCACCAAGACTCGATCTATTGACTGCTGGATGGTAGACCTGTTATCATTCTCCATGGACTATCCACCGCTGGTTGAAGGCCACTATCATAGTACATTATATAGTCGCCATCAGCCATGGTCTCTGCATGAAAATCCTCCCATCGTCAGCAGCTATTGCATACCCACTGCTGAATGAATGCTTCATCATCAACAGCCATTGGTGAACTTCTGGATGTAGCTCTACCATCATGCCCCAGACTGTGTGAGCGTCACAACAACATTGGTCATGGTCTTGTCCACTGCCGGACTAAAAAAAACCCCTCATTATTAATCCGTGCATCAACTAAGTCAACGCAGATAAATCTCCGTAATGTATTTACGTAGCAAGCATTGCCTTATACAGAGTAATGCAGTCATGTGTTTTATTGTCTGTCTGTGGGTACTGCAAACAATAAACACCGCCAACGTACAGCCGTTACCCGTATTGCGTGTAATTAGGACGCAATGTTGGCACGAGATTGGATAAATGTGAAATAACCACGACTGCATTTGCATGCTCGCACGCGTCATTAAAATGCGCAGGATTAGCACGGATGGCTGCGTACAGTGCGAAAGAAGTTCAACGTTTACAGTAAATTACATACCTGCCTCTGATATTACAGAGCATTTCAGACCTCATTTGTCACCCCGTGTCCTTATAAATCTCAACGTTAATCCTACATAGTCCCATCACAAGGGAGAAACACAAACACATAGTTCAGCACGTAGGCTTTGGCGACCAATATCATCCATAATCGTTTTTTGGATTAGATCGCATAAATAGATTGGATAAATGTGAAATAACCACGCGATCTAACCCAAAAAAAAACCTTATGGACAAACAAATAGATATTATTTTTGTCCGTATTGAAACGGCTGTGCGCCGTATTGATCTGCAAACTCTATTTCCCTGTACAAGCATACGGGTAAACAGTATGGGTTGACGGGTATGTACGTACACAGCGTGATTACCAACTGTTATGAGTTCATGACCAGGTCAGAACCCATTTGACCAAACGCTGCTGCGAATCTCTTTTGGCGATTTTAAAACATAAATCAGCAAGTGACTCTTCGGATTGCACTCGAGTGGTTAGAAATATAGTGACGATACCTGTGATGATGTCCCGAGTAAACTCGCATAACGAAAATAAATACCCTCGTTAGGAACGAGCTGTATTTGGTCAGATATTGAAAGCTAAGCAGTGTTTCAGCCTGGGATAGCGCTTGAGATGAGTTTACAACAATCATGCACAACAGGTTGCTGTCGGCTGCTGCGAGGCTACGTGGTGGGGAAGAACTGACAGGTCAGCAAAAATAATACGTTGTTGTACTGCGCTTCTATGCTAGTCCGCCTTCACCCAACCCACCCGCACTGACCTGCTTGGTGAAGTATGGTCAAACAACTCCCACGGCAGGTACAGCAACGGAAGGCCTTTATCGCTCTGTGGATTGTTACACTATGAATGGCCATTATAGATGAGAGTCTTGGCGAGTCCATGACACTTTTTTTTCAGGAGTATCTTCAATTGGGAAGTTTGGCAATTTCACGATTGGGAAAAGCCACCATGGTATGTGACCTTCACAGCGGTTGTAGACCAATGGCCCAACAGCCATTGGAGCACCTTCGGCAAATGTTGTTGGTATAAGGACCTATCACGGTGGCTAGGAGATGTTAACTACCTCGCCTGGTGTACAGGAGGTCGTGGATTCGACCCCGACCCTGACGCCTGCTGTATATTTGGAGTTTGCATGTCCTCTCTCCCTGTGGTCGCGTGCATTTTTATCTGGGTCCTTCGGTTTTCCCTCATTTAGAATCATGCGTTTAGAGTATTTGGCCGCTATACATTTCCACACTTAGTTGAGCTATCATTTGTGACCAGGTCGCTTCTGAAAAATAACTATATAACTCAGTGGGCCTTGCCTAGTAAAATAAAAAGTTTATATTTACTTGTAGGGGTGGCCCAGGAAAGAGTCGGATGTCACTTGGCAGGACGCTGTCCATAACCTACCTAAAGTAGTTCAACTTCAAACTTGAGGCAGGGGGAACACCCGCCCATGTGGAACGTTACGCGATGGTTTGGGGATGTTTGTAGAAGTAACTGGTTTATTTTTATATCGCTGTACCTGTATTCTTCAAAGCGCCCCCCTCACCACCACTTCCTGAACGGTCAAAACTTTTACGTTCTTAAATAAAACCACGCAGCTCTGTGTTGGGTCACTTACTTTTGCTAACACTGCCAACGTCACACTTTTATTATTGAAACGAACCAAAAACAATCTCTTTCAAAACTGCTGCCCTATATTGTGGCGATACCCACTTCTGGTTGATTTCCCAAACGGGGGAAAATTCTACCCAAAAAAATGTTGAAACAAGATTTCGTGACTTTGGTAGATTACATCTGTGATTTAGACAATTTGTTATCTCGTTAACAATAAGCAGCGGAAATACTCGGCTTATTCGAAACCGTGTATGTCTGTGTGTTAACTTAACGCTTCCAAATGCATAATTGGAATGAAAGGCTTTTTAAATCCAATCCACTTCTTTTTTTTATGAGGCTCTTAAGTTGGGAGGTCTGGAAAATTCCGCATTCGGGAACACCCAATGGTATATGACCACCACAACAATTGTATAGAAACCACCCAACATTCATAGGGGGCGGGGGGGGAACGCATAGCCGGCGATGTTTCAGGCAATAGCCCTTCTTTGTAGTACGTAAATAGATGACAGAGAGAGTGAACAAGAGTTGAAGACTGGGCTTTACACCAAGATGCCTGATAAGGATTGCACGTAAAAACGTTTCCTGACTAACAGTTTTCGCACATGAACATATTTAGAATTTGCTGTGGAGAAGGGGTCATTGCCCAAAACGTCACCTATTCTGCTTTCAAGGCAGTGGTGTTGTTGACGAACGTGTTGGGTTTTTTGTGCCATTTGTGATTTTTGCACCACTGACAAACACATCGTCACCACGTAATTTGTTACATTCATGTTTGTACCTTGGCAATAAAATAACACAAATTTTAGCCTTGTAGACTGTTTGGGCAAATGCTGTTACCAAGCAGCCATGTAAGTAAGGTTCTCCGTGGCACTCGCGTGGCCAGCACAGCATCTGGTATCCCTCGTCTCCCCTTTGCATCAGGTTTACACACCGCATAAGCCGTTTATGGCCGAGTCAACCTAGAGGAAGGCCAGAAAAAAATAAAAATGTCACTGACCAC